ATGGGAAGTCCAGACAGAAGACAAGGCATAGGTAGTATGACAGGACTGAAGACCCCCTCTTTATCAACCTTGAGGACTGGAGGAGACAGAGGCAGGAAGATCCTGCCGGGTACCTCCAGGAAGGAGTGCATGCTTTTGGAGTGAAGTTGGTTGCTGACCTGATGAGTTCAGACCTGGTTTGGCCAGAAACCTAGATGTTGAGCTTGTTCCCCTTTTCGTCTGAGCCAGAGAGCTCAGGTCTTTCTGGTCCGTCAGGAGAAAAGTAATAGGTGGATTGTTTCTGTTTCCTCCTACCCACATCACCTGTGTGGCATGGAGTGGACCTGATTCTGTTCCTTACCAGAAGGGGCCCTGTAGGCTCTCCCACGCCCTTCCTCCGTCCCACTTGCCCCGTGGGTGTAGCCATTGACCGGCTTGGTGAACAGGACACAGATGGGCTGCGGGAATGAGGTGGGAAGTTCTGTGGGGAGTGTAGGTTATGCTTATGGAGGAGCAATGCCACAGAACCCACAGTCCCAGGTCAGCCACGTAAGTCGGACGGCCCTGTGAGTTAAGAGAACTGGATAGGAATTCCGACTCCATGGTCTGGTCTGAGCTGGCCCTGCCTTCCTCTGGCTTCCGGTCCATTCTTCCCTACAAAGCAGATTTCTTTGTATTAGATTATCCCAGTGTTTGTGCCTTTGTAAACCAGGTCTGAGGTTTCAGTAATGCTGGAATAAAAGAACTCTGTTTTTCCTATCCTTCATGCCTGGTGTCCCTGTACAGTATCTGGGCACATTCATACCAGCTGGTGGGAGCAAAGAAATCAGAACTGGAGGGAATTAAAGAGTCCAGGTGCTACTGAATTTATTGGAAATGGAAAAATGACTGCTGTAGCCCATTCAGCGGATGTGGGTGTGGCCACAAACAGAAATGCCATCAAGGTTCTCAGGCAGAGGTAGACACCAGCTAGCTAGTGTAGAGTCCATTCTAGCTAGGTCTGTGGTTTTTTCCTTTCTCTAGAATTCTAGAATGAGGACAGCTGATCCGAAATAAAATGATACTCTTTTTCCAAATCTTGGGAAATGTCATGAGGGAAACATTTTTTTGTGGGCCGATGGATTGTGTCGTTTGCCAGTCAGTGCCGCCCGCTTACCAGGCCTCGTGGAATGCAGACACACTCCCCTCGGAAATGTGGGGAGAACACAATTCCAGCTATTTTGGGTCCTGTCTGTTGTAGACCACCCATGGCAAAAACTTTGTGGCTTCCAACCCCAAACAGAGCATCTGCACCTCTCCAGTTTTTTTGCTCTGCGAAGAAAAGGGAGCAGTCCAGACATCCACCACCTGGGGAGTGGGCCTGGAAGATGTGGTCTGTCCATACAACTGCGGGTTACTCAGCAATGCAGAGAACGAAACTAATGACAAATGCTCTAACGTGGGTCATCTAAAAACATGTTCCGTGGAAGAAGCCACATGCAAAAGACTACATGTTATATGGCTCCCCTTCCAGGAAGTGTCCGGAAGAGACGAAGCTTATAGAAACAGGAAGCAGATTCGACATTGCCTGGGAATGGGTTTGGGGACTGACTGCGGATGAGCCGGAGGACTCTGTTTAGGGTGATGGGAATAGGCAAAGGTGACAATTCACTGAAGTGACTGAAAATCATCACACACTTAATTTTCTGGATACAAATTGCCCCTGGGTAAAGCTGTTTAAAAGAGAAATGGGGGCCACCTGGGTGGTTAGGTGTCCCACCTCTTGATTTTGGCTCAAGTTGTGACTTTAAGGTTGTGAGTTCAAGCCCTGTGTCAGGCTCCGTGCCGGGCGTGGATAGTCAGCTTGAGATTCTCTCTCTCCCTCTCCCTCTGCCTTCCCCCTGTCCCAGCAGGCACATGTGTGTGAGGGCTCTCTTTCTCAAACCAAAAAAAACCCAAATCGGAAGTTCCCCATTGTCTTTTGTCTAATATGAGATCATTCCTGGTTAATTTCCTTCTCCATGCCTGTGACTGTGCCCTCAGGGGGAAAGAGCAGGGGGGATGGGCAGCTTCTTAGTCTTCCGTTAGGGACAGAGCCCTGTGGTGAGTTCTGAGGAGGCTGTAGGTAGAGGGGCCGTATTTTCTGAACCAAAATGGGAAGTAGAGTCAGGCAGCGTCCTGGGTGCTTTGCATGCATTTTCTCATTCAGTGGTCACTTAATTCCCATAACAAGCCTGTGGGAAAGGTGCAGTTTGGCATATGCCCGTTTTAAAGAAGAAAACGGAGGCCCCAAGAGGTTGAGTCTTCTGAAAATTCAGTCTATAAATGATGAACTTTAGAGATTCAAACCCGGGTCTTTCTGGCTCAAAAAATCAGTGATCTTTATCATGAAAATCCCCCCTGCCAAGAAGAAGTATATGTGTGGGAAGACTGTTTTTTTTTTTGTTTTTGTTTTTGTTTTAAAGATTTTATTTATTTATTTGTCAGAGAGAGAGAGAGAGAGAGAGAGAGAGAGAGAGCAAGCACAGGCAGACAGAATGGCAGGCAGAGGCAGAGGGAGAAGCAGGCTCCCTGATGAGCAAGGAGCCCGATGTGGGACTCGATCCCAGGACTCTGGGATCATGACCTGAGCCGAAGGCAGCTGCTTAACCAACTGAGCCACCCAGGCGTCCCGGGAAGACTGTTTTTTGACGGAGAAAGTGATGCTTAGGGACTGATGCTGAGTTATGAACAGTAAGGGACTTAGCAACCACAGTGGGTAGAGAATACGACAAAGCTGTCTCTTTTTGCCCTGGCTTGGACTGGCCTGCCAGGAGATGCTGATGTGGACATGCTTGCCTCTCTCAGGAGACAACCCGTCCGCCCCTGCGTGTGCTGAATCTTTATAGTTCCTCCCTTCTTTGTTGTTCTTACGTGGTTCTAAAAAATGTATTATGGAATGTGCCAAACATTCCATAATCATAGAATACTTACAGAAGGATAAAGAATACTTATATGCCCACCAGCTAGCTTAATAAATAAAACATTATCTGCTTGTGCTTTTAAATTTACCACACATGATGGGTAGACAAGTAAAGCCAAGTTACACAGTGTGGGGAGACCAGGCTTTGAGAGGGAAAAACCTAGATTCAAATCACGAATCCCAGCTCCGTAATGTATTTCCTTGGAGAGGTCCTGAAACCGTTCTGAGATGCTGTTTTTCTGTACAAGAGGGACGTTTACACTCACTTCCCAGATTGTAGAGATTGAATGAGATCATGCTTATTAAGAGCTTAACCTGATACATACTAATTAGTGGTAGTCCTTGTTCTTATAAACTGTATAACCTGTAATGATCAAAGGTACTAAAAATAAATCTTACATAGATTTCGCCAATCCCCATGATTAGCTCTACTTTCTCCCTCCTGTGACTTTAATTTTGAGGCGGTAAATGGTTCCCCAGGTTCTTTAACAGGTGCTAACCTGCATGCCAGATGAACGACCTCCAGAACCTGGGGGTCTCCACCAGCTCTGTGGGGCTTTCTCCGCTCCCCAGATTGCACAAGATGGTTTATAAGCATCCTCCTTTGCCCGGGCCAGCCCTAGCTTACACCTGACCCCCTGGCCTAATTAAAAGCTCCCCCCTTTCACTCTCAGAAGCATCATGGTTTGCATGATAAGTCCCAAGATGACCCCAGTAAAAACTGTTTCTAAGGCACAAGCCCAGACCTGTATGGGAATCTCATCCAGGATTCTGGGGGGGGCGGGGGGGAGATGGTTATTAGCAACCAGGTCCAGAGAAGGCCTTCACTGTTCATGGTGCGCTTACACAGATAGGCTCTGACTGCATCTGTAGGACCACCTTGTGTGATGGGAAAGCTGTGTCCGTCTTGCCAGTGAGGCGCAGAGAGCCACATTGTGTTGTCAGTTGTGATCCTCATTTCTTGGGGCAGTCATTCAGCCTGGCCTGCTCAGATCACGCCCAGGACACTGGCAGGCCTGCAGGGAATGGGATTTGTTTCTGAAAGGATCCCATTCATTCCCTCTGCCGTGCAAGGGTCCTGTCTCTTCCCAGCCCCGGGGCTAACCTGGACCTGTGCATTCCCCACACAGGGGATGTGCCCTTTCCTCCACCCCCTTGCCAGTTTAGAGAAGGAAATTCAGCCTCCGATAGAAGCAAAGCAGAGGGAGCCCCCAAGATTCCTTCTTCCTGTCCCTCGGGCTGGGTGGCCCTATTACTTTACCCCCAGAATCAGTTCAGGCCCCGGCCATTGCATCTGGTGTTAAAAGAACATAAAAGAAGGGATTCCCCGAGGGAGAAACACCCTCGAACCATAGCCTCTGCCTGTGAATAAATATTTTATTCCTTCTCAGCAGCTTTTTATGCATGCCTTGAGGCAAATGCATTTTAACAGCTAAAAAATTGTGTTTGGAATAAAAATGTTCTTACCCCCACTCTGTTCTCTTTTTTTTTTTTAATACAGAATTTTGTGTGAGTTCTTTATGAAAGCAACTCCTATGGCCAATCCCCACACCCACCCCAAATGAGTGATTTAGTAGACAAGGGAGACACAGAGCCATGTGTTTGAGGGAAGGATGGTTGGGTACAGCGGAGTGAGGATTTCTGAGTGAGGTGGGAATCCCTTGGCGTGCACGAAAGTGGCTGGGGGCACAGAGCATGGACTGGGCCGAGCTGCCAAGTGGAGACCAGCGAGTCCCCCCTCAGCGCATGGGGAGCACCTCCATCCCGGATTGGTTGCTTTGCCTGAGAACAAGCATGGTCTTGATCAGGAGTCTGACTTTTTTTGGTTGTGTCCTTGCTGAGAATTTCCTCCTGGCACCTGCCAGACATCCAGTTGCAACTTGCCTCGTGTATCCGCTCTAATCACGGTGGGGGAGAAGCAGCTAATTTCTTTGTGGCTGAGGCCTGACTTCCCCAGATTGTGATCCCCGGGGAAGTGTTGAGGAAACCTGTCCTGTCCTGGAGAAATGAAACTCGTGAGCGAGAAAGGGCTCCCAAGCTGGGACTCCGTGTCTAAAAGCATCTCTTTCTTGTCTTGCAGAAATCAGGAATGGCAACCTCAAGGCCATCCTAGGCCTCTTCTTCAGCCTCTCCCGCTACAAGCAGCAGCAGCAGCAGCCCCAGAAGCAGCATCTCTCTGTGCCGCCACCGCCCGCCGTGGCCCAGGTGGCCGGGGCCCCCTCCCAGTGCCAGGCTGGCACCCCTCAGCAACAGGGGCCGGCCACCCCCCAAGCCCCGGGCCAGCCTCTCCAGCCGGCAACACATCAGCAGTCAAAAGCGCAAGCCGAGATGCAGTCCAGGTGGGGGCTCCCTGCCGCCCTGTGACTCCATGGTCCCCAGGGCGTCCTTCCCCCTCCTCCCCCCACCCCCGGCCCCATTGCAGCTGAGGCTGGGAATGTTCTCCTTTGGGCCCCTTCCGTGCTGAAGACTACTGGTAGTGGGGGGATTAGCCTGACCTTGGACCGGATGTGGCGGGGCTGCCTCCTGTGCCTGGTGGAGATGTGCACTTTCAGAGGTCGGACTGGCCAGCAGCCAGAGCTAATGAGCTGCTCTTGCCTAGCTCTGGCCTGTGTTGCACATGCTCCTAGGCAATGAACAGCCCCGAAAATAGACTTCAGACTGGTTTTGCATGTTTGCCTGTAAGCTGGGTGTTCAGTGTTCTATGAGTGACTCATTCTGCTTAGTGGAGGCAGAAGTTCTGCTGTAGATGCCTCTGCTGTACCAGAAGAGAGATATCTAGAGCACAGAAGAAAGATGGGCAATGCTTAGCAAGGAAGGGGGCAGCCACCTTCCTAGAGAGGGCCAGGGACTGGGTTTTGTTAACCTTGCGAGAGTGGTTAGCGGCCTCAGCTGTGGTCCTCTGTTTTGTAGGATTAGGGTGTGAGTGTTGCTCACGTTCCCGGGGGGCTGATGCCTGCCAGTGGAGCTCTCGGTGTAGGATGATATGCCAGCACAGGGCCAGGGTGCTTACCACCTACTGGGTTACATTGGGAAAAGTTGCATTCCTCAACAACTCTGCAGAAGATCACCTTGTAGAACATTCGTTTTAATGGCAGAGGGGGAAGAATGGGGATTTGGAGCTAGAAGGTTTTTGACTTACAGTAAAATTCTAGAGAAAAGTCCACAGTAATTGTTTAAAGCTGTAAACCTTTAGTTAGCAAATCATCTAGATGTCACTAATTAAATTGATTGCTTGGTTTCACTTAACATGTGCTGCAGAGTAATGACTTTTGCTTTCCAGTCCCCCAAAGCACCAGTGTTCATAACTATAGGGTTTCTCACACACGTTTGTACCCTCAGCAGCCCGTTGTAGTTGGACAAAGCACAGAACAGTTCCAGACAAAACAGGTGCCTTATAGATGGTTAACGCTTTTTCCTTCCCCTGAGAAGTGCTACTTCCCACTTGTGATGGTGTTAAAACCAGCAGTGTTGGATGTGTTGTAAATCCCCTAATTATCTAATTATATCCAATTTACATTATGGAAATTTATAGGCAAGTAGAAATGCCTGGACTAGTAATGAGGAACAGAGAGCCAGGCAGCGAGCCCCTGCACCTGACCTGAAGAACCACCTGAGTGCGAGCCATCCTCTGATCAGAGGTCCCTGATGGCCCTGGGTGACTGAATGACCAGGATCTCATTGCCCACACTGTATTCTACAGGGTGCTTATTCCCTGGATGGTAACTTGCAGGAGAAGGGCCCCATAAGGGGAAAAGTTGGTAAATAATCTGGGTTGAGTTGTTAGAACTGTTACTACAGGTCTACTCAGATCCTTGAATCTGCCAAAAATGCATTCATTTGTTTAGTTAGTGTTTGAATGCCTTCTGTGTGCCAGGCACTGTTCTAGGCACTTGGGGTTCAAAGATGAATGAGACCACTAATGTGCCTACTCTTTGGATTTTCCTAGAGGAAGCAGGAAAATAGGGAAGAGAACTATCAGATAGTGCTACTACAATAAGATGATGGGATTCAGAAGGATTAGGTTGATAATTTAGGTTGGACTGCTAGGAGATTCTCTCTGGGAATATGACACCAGGGTAGAGATAGGGATGATATGGAGCAAGCCATGTGAAGTTTAGGTGTAGAATAGATCAGCCAGAGGTTGCAGCTGGTGCAAAGGCCCTGTGGTGTAAGAGACAGCTTGGCAGGTTGGAGGACCAGAAAGAAGGCTGGTGTGGCTGGAGCTCACTGGGTGAGGGGAGTTGGAAAACATGACAAGCAAAGCAAAGCCTCCATCTACATGGAAGATAGTATAACTGGTGGTCCCTGCAGTAGCCTAGTGCCATGAGCCTGAGGTCCAGTCACAGAGTACTAGCTAAACTGGGGAAAGAGTTTGCATTTCATTTTATAGGTAGCAGGAAGCCACTGGGGGTTCTTGAGCAGAAGAGAGACTTGATCTGATTTAGAGTTAAAAAAATCTTCTTAGCTCCTCTCTGGATAATAAGACTAGGAAGCCTAGAGATGGAAGGAGGGACCCCAGGTAAGAGGCTCTTGTAGTCCTCCAGGGGACGGTGGCTTGGACCAAGGGGTAGAGCAGATCTCTTGATGGACCACTTCACGAGGGTGAGCCAACAGGGCTGCGAATCGATGGACAGGCTGGAGTGAGGGAGAGCATCACAGATGAAGCCTGGATTCCTGGCGTGAGCAGTGGTAAATGGTGCTATTTATTGAGGTGAGGGAGCCTGAGAGAAGAACACGTGTGCACTGTGAATCTTCAGAAGGGGCCATAGAAAGCATTCCTCCAACTTAGCCTTAGAGCTTACTTCATAGATCTTCTCACTGCATACAGGATTCCAAGGAACATGTGTTGAGCAACGCCGGGCTTGTGTCACTAAGCTATGCTAGCCCGAGGCACCCACTCCAGTGGAAGGCGTATGTTTTCTTAAGAAAACCAGATGTTCCAGTCAGGACACCCATCTCCCAGTAAGAAGAAACGTTCTGCTGTTAATAAAGGCTTTACCTAAAGAAGAGCCAAACTTACTTAAGCCAGGATCCATTTATTCCAGAGTGATTCTTAACCATCATGGCCCCCTGACTCAGTACCGTGATGACATGGATTGGCCTTTGGAGTTGCTCTGTGTCCTCCCTCATCCTTTATCTGGCCCAGATTGGGTTAGTTCCACAGGTGAATGGTTTCCCACATTATATACTGGTTCTAATTTTACTTCCAAAGGACGATCATATCCTTAAGTTCTAGGGATCTAATATCCCATGCTTATGCTCTGGCTGTAAATTTAAGAATAGTAAAATGGCAACACTGGCTTAGTTCCATTGTATTTCTATCCCACACTTTGTCTTTGGTAACCAGAGCCCCAAGGGTAATGGTTTGGACCCTTGATCATCGGTGACAAATGTTGGTGCAAGCCCAGAACGCCAAGTTCCAGTCCCCTGTTAGAACTGTGCCAGTTACAAACATGCCTAAACACTGCACCTCTTGGGATAGGAAATACTAAAACCTGGCAGGTTTTCCATGAAATTTGTTAAGAAAGGAGTCGTGGAAGCTGGCAAAGGCAATTTGAGCTGCTGGCATGAGGGAATCCGAGCAACTCCTCCATGATGGCCCAATGGAGACTCACGTTTACCTTTTCCCTTCAGCTCTTCTCATTAATCCATGTGAGGCCAAGAACTTGATCTTCATTTTAGCTCCTGAAATTCCTTACCAGTGCAGAGTCCAGGAGAGGAGCACAGTCCCCAAGACTCATTTTCCTTTCCATCTATGTCTACCATATGTATTACTAATATTCAACTGGTCAGGAAAAATCCTGGTAATTGATTCATTTCTTTTCTTCTTCTGTATTCTCTCTTCTCTCTTCCTTTACTTCCAGAGTCTAGTAACACCAACATTGTCTTTCTCACCTGAGACTGCTGCATAGGGTTCCAAAGAATATGTGTCAAGATACACAGGTCGGTATAGGATGAACATGGTATAGGGTGTATGGATACAAGAAAGATAAATATTTCTACCTTTTATAAGGCAGTAAGTAAGTTTACCTTTCTATTAAACCCAATCTAGTTTCCTCACATGTACAGATTTTTTTTTAAAGATTTTATTTATTTATTTGACAGAGAAAGGTTACAAGTAGGCGAAGAGGCAGCCAGAGAGAGAGAGAGAGAGAGAGAGAGAGAGAGAGAGAGAAGCAGGTTCCCCACTGAGCAGAGAGCCCAATGCGGGGCTTCACCCCAGGACCCTGAGATCATGACCTGAGCCAAAGGCAAAGGCTTAACCCACTGAGCCACCTAGGCACCCCGACATGTACAGATTTTTCATCCAAACCCTAGAACTTAGCAAGTTCAGAAGTCTTTAAATGAACATTTCTTTAAAAAAAAGAGAGAGAGAGAAAGAGAGATTTACTTATTTACTTGAGAGAGAAAGCAAGCTCAGTGGGGAGGGGCAGATGGAGAAGGAGAGAGAGAGAATCTTAAGCATACTCGGAGCTGAGCATGGAACCTGATGCGGGTCTCAATCCCATGATCCTGAGATCACAACCTGAGCCTAAGCCAAGAGTCAGATGCTTAACCAACTGTGTCACCCAGGCGCCCCTTAAATGAGCATTTCTATACCACTGAGAGTGAATCTTCCCAAGAGCAGCAAAACTTGCAAACATCTATACCCTTGTTTTGGGTCAACATTTTATGGCACATTTACCTGAAAAACACGCTGGTAGAACAAGTATGTGAAACAGAAACATTTAGATACTCTTAGGTATAAAGTTTGTTTACTTGTCAGACACCCCTCACTTTGGTGATTTCTGAGGGGAAGAAGAAGCCTTATGTCCCAAGTAGCAGAAAAGATGTTTGGTGTTTAAAAAAAAAAAAAAAGAAATCACAGAAGTTCTTAGATAATCTTGATGGTAATTTCTTCACGTTGGCATTTTGTCACATCAGAAGAGTTAGAGCCGGAAGGAAGGCTGTGTATTGTAGGAAAAGTGGGCAGAGGACGAACCAGCCATCCCCACTGTTACCTACTCCTATTAGTGGTGTGTGTGTCTAACATATCTTCCCTCCCCTCACTCATCTCTTCTACTGTTTTTCTTTCCCATCATGCAGTGCGTCATCCAAGGACTCATCTCAAAGCAAAATCATCCGCTTCACTCTGGGTCAGAAAAAGATTTCTAGGTTAGATTTTTCTGTGTCCTGCAAAGCATGGTTTCAACCCAACTCATTGATCCCTTTGCTCTGGCTAAGTTTCCTTTCAGTCCCTCTCCCTGTTTCATGTTTGTGGTTTGAGCAAACCAAACGTGCTTTGGCTAATGACCCAATGTTGGAGAGTTTTGAGTGTCTGGGGGAGGGGGGGAGACATCATTGAAAAGGAGTGTGTATGTGTGTGTCAGAGCCTATGTGAGATGAAGCTGTACATACTGCTTCTACATCTCTTTGAGTTGGCCTTTGTTCACTCATCAAAATCCTTTCTGATTTAGGGAGAGGTAAGTTTCTAGGTAGATTTTGTAGTTGTTTTTTGATGAGCTTGGCTCCCTGCTCTGGCCTGGCCCTGATCCCACCTCACCTGCATCCCTTTTGTGTGTGTGTGTGGTGCTTTTTATTGTTGCTGTTATTGCTAAAATTACTAATGTGGGATTGGTTTTCTTTTGAATTATAAAGAATGGAAGCATGACTCCCATTGGTGGGAGGAGACAAAGCAGCAAGGCAGCTCTGTCTCATTTTCATTTCTGGATGCTCTTTTGTACCTTGGAGAGATTGCCTCAGTCTCCTAAAAATAAAAATCAGCCTTGCTCACTAACTAGTTCTCTTGACACAGAGTTTTGCATCTATGGCCTCGTAGGAGGACCCGTTCCAGGATATGGAAAATGCCGGTCATGTCTTTGGGATCCACTGTTCTTTTAAAAGTAGCAAGAACTAACATTTTTGAATTTCATTATGCACCAGTTTGAATGTATTCTCTTATTTAATCCTCAAGTCAGTCTTCATGTGGCAGGTCATGGTATTGTCCCCATTTTACAGATGAGAAAACTAAGATCGAGGAAGTTAGGTAAGTTACCCAAGGTGACACAGAAAGTACATAAAAGCAGGATTTGAGCCCAGGTATCTTACTCTAGAACTCTCACCTTAACTACTGTGTTACACTCCTCTCTTCCTCCCCCTCGAAATCTGGTACTTAGGGGGTTGTCAAGGCTGCTTTTAATAAAAATCTTTGATTTCAGACATTACCCTCAGTCTTTTGCCTCCACTTGTAACATCCTAACAGAACCCAATGCTGGGGTGGAATTGCTTCATTTACTTTTTGTTGAATTCTCACTTAAAGCTAAAGGGACACCCACTCTGTATTTGTGTGGCAAATACGTTCTGAATGTCAGCCTGCTGCCCCACTCCGTCAAGCTCTAGGTCCCTTTTCTAGCCAGAGCCTTCTTTTCCTTTTCTAAAGGGTTACACATCGGGAGACCCAACTTGGAATCTGCCTGGCTATAGACAAGAAGCCACAGGGCAGTGGCCTCTCTGTAGACCAAGTCCAGATACTACACTGACTTGGTTCCGGGGGACAGAAGGGAACCCACATTCATCAGTGCTTCTCATAATCTTGTGCTTTGTCATTTTGGGGTGCTAGAACAAATCACTGTAAACTGGGTGACTTAAACAGCAGAAATGTTTTCCTTACAGTTCTGGAGGCTGGGAAGTTCAAGGTCAGAACGACATTCAGTCAGGTTCTAATGAGAGCCCTGTTCTGGTTTTCAGTGGCCGTGTTCTTGCTGTGTCCGCACATAGAGAGCAGCACAAGAGGAAGCAAGCCCCATTCATTCTCTTGTTATAAAGCACCAATCCCATTATGAGGTCTTTAACCTCATGACCTAAGTCCCTCCCGTGAGCCCCATTTCCAGATACCATCACCCAGGGATTAGGGTTATGACACATGAATTGGGGCAGGAGCGGGGAGGACATAAACACCCAGGTCATAACAGCATACTAGAGAGTGCCTGCTTTCCCTGAAAAGTAACACAGGGTCCAACTCGGACACCGACTGCCCTGGCAAACGGGGTTCCCAGTTTTTGAGTGTGGTGCAGATGTCCCTACATAGGTGTCAACCTAAATGAGGAGGTAAACTGAGGCAAGCTCAAATTACCAAACTCAAATTGAGTTTATTTGGGAATAGCAGAGGAATTGCAGTTTGGGAAACACATGCCAGAGCAAGAAACAAGTGAGTCTATTGAGGATTTGGGGTGTGCTGTATTTTTTTTTTTTAAGATATTTGTTTATTTATTTGACGTAGTGAGAGAGATCACAAGTAGGCAGAGAGGCAGGCAGAGAGAGAGGGGAAGCAGGCTCCCCACTGAGCAGAGAGCCCAGTGTGGGGCTGGATCCCAGGACCCTGAGACCATGACCTAAGCGGAAGGCAGAGGCTTAACCCACTGAGCCACCCAGGTGCCCCTGGGCTGTGCTGTATTGATGGACCAGGAGAGCAAGGGGACATGTGAGGGTCCAGCCAGAGTCTAAGCAGTATGTTCATCAGTTTGAGGTGGAGAGGAATTCTGGTAGATGTGCATCGGTCAAGAGATAAGTTTCCATAATCCGTAAATCAAACATTTATGGGAAATCAGCCTCCCCGTTCTTAAGTGCCGTTCTTTTGAGGGCGTGTGCCTGAGATGCTCCATTTCCTATCCTCCAGTTCCAGTGTAGATTGAAATTCTTTCACGGACAAAAGGAAAGGAGGGAAATGAGCTTGGAGGGAACCTGAAATCCAGTGTTTGTTCCCACGATGTGCTCCGTTCTAGACGATAAAGCAAACAGGAGCTTGCCGGGGAAATATCTGCTTGAGGCACATGGCCACCGCGGGATGATTTGTTATCAGTCCCGGATGGTGAAAGGAGGCAGTGGGAAGAGAGGAAGGACTGAAGGGTGAGGCCGTGTCTGCCCCTCCCCCAGGGTGTGCTGGGTTTAGGGCTTCCAAACTGACTGAAAGCCAAGGTCTGGCTTTCTTTCAGGGTCACATCCCCCCACCTAGAGTTTCTTTTGGATACATTTTTGTCTCTGATGAGGCTAATGAAAGGATGTTCTTTGTTTCATTATTTGCCTAATAATCCTCCTTGCCCTCCCTATCCTCCTCCCTTTCCCACCCCCAGCCTTGAACACAATTCTGATAAGTATTTTAGCTGATCCATGCATCACCAAATGGAGCCATAATGTTAGCCACCAAAAGAAATAGCCTTACCCCTGCTGATGGAGCAAGGCACCTCTCCCAGAGCTCAGGAAATAGATCTCACTCAAGTGCAAACATTGCTGGAACACCTGGCGGAGTCAAACACCTCGAGAGGCACCAGGGGTATCCAACAGGGTGGGAAGCCTCACCCAGGAGTCTGGATGCAGGAAAGAGGCTTATGGGGGAATCAGCACAGGGATGGAGGTTTTCCAGAAATTTCTGCCTTCGACTACAATTATGTTCCCTTGGCAAGACCGGCGGGTGCCAGGTTCATAGGAATAGTCCATCTGCAGAGACATGGAGGCATGGCGGCTGTGAGTGCGGCTAGTCAGACCTCCTGAAAGCCCCTCTTCACTACTCACCACGTCACCGGGCAGATGATTTATTCTCCAGGAGCCCGTGTTTCCTCACTGCCTCATTCAGTGTGATGTGGATCAAGTAAACTCACCCCAACCCTTTTATGTCTGGCCCATAAGGAGTGCACCATAACCAGCAGATGCAGTGATGTTGGTGTTTCGGGTTGATCTGGGACAGCTGGGGCCACCAGGCTACCTCTAGCAAAGCCCCATGGAGCTGGTCTACATGACCGTCTTAGGGCGAGGAAGCGGTGGGGCTCATACTTCTGTCCTCTTTGTCTAGCTGCTGAAAAGCAGAGGCCATGGAGATGAGAGATTTAGCATTTAATGATCTCCTCTGGCTAAAAAAAGCATCTCTGATCACACCTTCCACCTGAGATCCCAAACCTGTGCACACAAGCTACCATCCTTCCTGGGAGGGCCATCTTCTCCATTTCAAGTGGCTTTGCGGGGAAGAAGGTCTTTGTTCCCAACAGCGTGCACAGTGTGTGGAGCTGGGATGCGCTCACAGGTTATGTGCCAGCAGTGACTACTTACCACCCTGCCTGCTTGGCTCTGAACATGTTGTCGAAATCAGCCATGGCTCCAACAGCGGGGTTTCTCTTCTGCCTCTTTTTAGCACCACTTCCTTTAAATTTACTTTTTTTTTTTTTTTTTTTTTGGAAAAGCAACATGTGTATGTTTCAAAGAACCCATCTGTGCCCTCTGTCATTTTGTAACTGTGTTTGGAACATGGAATGATCTTGAGAAGTAGAGTTGTTCTGGCAAAGGAATCCTTGGAACATTCTGGCACCATAAATGATGCAGGATTGACTTGACATGCTCCCCTCTCCCTGCTGGTCCACATGAGCAAGACCCAACTCTCCTGAGAAGAGGGATGCTAACGTACAGGTAGCAACTGTTTCCAGGCTGGGACTTGATAGCAGTTCTGGTGATGCTCGAAGATGTTAACAGTAATGAACTTGGGAATGTGAGCTGGGTCTGTGTTACTGTGAACCAGAGGATAGATACTCTCCTTTTCTGCTCTAGCTCTGCTCCCAGCCTCCCTAACAAATGCCTCATTGCTGGAGGCCAGGACAATGTCCAGATTCATATTATGGCACACAAGGACTTCTCTACTCGTGCCCTGCCTGCTTCTCCAGCCTCATTTCCTCCCAACCTGTCCCCCACTCCCCAGCACACACCAGCCCTTCCTTCCTCTTCAGGAGACCTCTACCTTTCATCCTGACTCCGTACCCTCTTGCCCTCCACTCACATTTCTGTTCCATGTGCCACATCTTCCTCTGGGGTCCCATCTATTTGGAACCTTCGCTGGCCATCCCACCAACTTCCAAGATTATCATTTTCCTTCTCTGAATTACTTCTGACCTTTGCATATTCTTTTATCAATACATATGTAATTTAGATGTCATCTGGGATCAGTCAGTCCCTTAAGATCTAGAGGAGAATGAACGAGAACCCTCCCTCTGTCTGTCTGGCCTACCGTAGTAAAATACCACAGACTCAGTGGCTGATAAACAACAGAAATTTATTGTCCACATTTCTTGAAGCTGGAAGTCCAAGATCAGGATGCCAATCCTGGTTGGGTTCTGGTGAGCACTACCTTCCAGGTGGCAGATGGCTGACTTCTCACTATGTCCTCATAGGGTGGAAGAGGCCAGCTAGTATTCTGCACCATGTTTTATAAGGGTGTTAATATCATTCTTGAGGGTTCTGTGTAATGACATAATCATCTCCCAATCATCTCCCAACGAGATCACACTGGGCATTAGGATTTCCACATAGGAATTTGGGGTGGGGAAACATAAACATTCAGACCATAGAAAACTCTTCTTCAATTTTCAGAAAACCCAGTGCCTTCCCCATGATTGCTCATGTACCTTAGGTCCTCAAGGTCACCTTTGTCTTTGAAATGCTACATTTGAAATCTTATAATTCACTCTGAATTAAATTGGGGGGATTGACTCACTATCCCAAAGAATATTTTGGTTCCCTCATGGGTCAATCCAAGCAAGCCTTTTTCCTTACTTCCTACCCACCACACATTCATTCAAGGCCTTTGTATGTTAGGTGCAATTTGTTGGAAATTTCAGAGGGTTGGTAGGGGGCTTGCTTTGGAGTAAGCAATTACTCAAGCCCATTCACAACAAAACCCATGTTTTAAAGCATCTAGACACTTTCTGAAACTTGGAAGAAATTACTTGGTCTCTACCTAGTCTTTCCATTTGGTCAAGTTCAAGGAGCTGTCCTGACTAAGGTGTAACAGTGATGGAGGTAGAAGGTGACATGAATTGACTTGAACGTTGGGGTGGCTTTTGATGTCCAAATATGTGCTGACCATTCCTTTTCATATCAGCTGCCTCCAAGGCCTTCAAGAGCTCCTTCTCCATGTCCTAGGAAATTGGGCACAACCCTGCAGCCACTTGAAGGCTATGCCGCTCCCATCAGAGGTGCACTTCTAGGTCCTGACTCAGTGCAAAGAATCTGATGATGACCACCCATGGGAAACCAGAACTGGCTTGGTTGATCCAAGACCAGGAATGTTTCACTCTGGGGACTGGGGCCTACAGATGGCTCAGAGGTACCCTAAGTATAAGGTCTCCATCACAGATACTTGGATGAAGCAATTTCTCTTCTGGAACGTTTCTTAGGGAAATGAGTACCATCTGCCAAAACCTGGCTTGCCTCTTTGAAAATGTAGATCTCAGACTTTCTTATGTTGATTTTTGTCCTCTCTCTTCTGATACTTTCATCTAGATCCATCGATTTCCTCCATTATTTTGATTGTTTTTTGTACCAAAGCATCTTTCCTTTATTACAATGCCGAATTCATTTATGAATTCATGCTCAGCAGAGGATGAGAAGGGGAACTCACATGCATTAAGTACTTGTAATAGGCCAGACATTAAGCCCCATTCCAAATGAACAACTATCCTATTGGATAGTTTATTATTATTCCAAAGTTATCTGATATGGAACACGAATCTTGGAGAGATTATAACACTGGTCCACTCTCATGTGTATGGAAAAAGCCCATATTTTATCCATTATTCCACACTGCCTCACAGAGGACTAGACTGCCTATGCAATTCAAGGTTATACTCATTCTATCCGATGCTTTGGTCAATTTTCTTTCTCTAATGGCCCTGACTGCCCTGAAAAATCTGTGGTCCAGGCTTGGGTCAGGGCAGTGGGGGCTCTTCAGCAGCTCTGCAAAAGGAATATATCTTTCCTTTCCTGTTGCTTTTTGCTTCTCTACTCCTTGCAAACCCCCTCTGAAGTAGAATGCTATGGCCTTTTACCCTGTACCACGTCATACAGTTGCTGTGACATTATCTTGGAACAAGGCTATAATGCTTTTCCAGGCCTGTTTGTGGGCATAAGGACTCCTGTAGACTATAGCTGGGTTAGAGGAGTCCAGCCCAAAGGACTCCACATCTGCACCTACAGAATCCCTACCATTAATTGTCAGTACTCCACTAAAAATGACTTGGAAGCCTCACTGGATGCTGTTTGTACTCAAAGCAGAACCAAGACATACCAAGATCTGATTCCTAGGCCTCCTTATCCAGTTGTGCTGGCCACATCTCTATTCAAATATAGACCAAGGCACTGCTGGTTTTGTACCCGACTCTGTGCCTGTCTTTATGGGGTGAATATTTTCTCCAAACAAGATGGGGTAAATTAACAGAGGGGCACATCCTCCCAGTGCAGTGGAAAGTGCACTTCTCTCTGCCACTTGGTCGGGGAGAACTCACCCCGTTTCCTTCTCGCCTAGTTCCCAGTCAGGGAATTGGGCCACCTTCTTCTTAACTGTATAAATTTTACAGTGCTCTCACACTAGCTCATGTTCTCTGTTTATTCTACAACCATCTTTCTTGCTCAGCCAGCAAGAAAAGTTTAAAGTGATTGCCTGCTTATATGTAAAATGCTTCCAGACTGCAGACCTCTTTGGTGCCTACAGATTTGCATGGGAAGAGAAAGTTGAAAGCTTTATGGGTTGAAAGTTCAGACTTATCACTAGATCTAATGCTAGTCAGCAGAGGTTCCAGTGGCTTTTAAACACAGTTAAGTGGGTTTTAGCTGAAAGATAGAACTATTTCATTATTTATTCATCTTTCAACTTTTAATGATTAGAAACAGGCTGCTTTGTAGTCTCTGAACCCAAGTTCCTGATCTGGGGAGACTTAACCTTAACTCTTGGGGGAGGAGGCCATAATATCTTGAGACATATTACAAAGATGTCTGCTAGCTTATTTCTCAAATTACCCCAATAGAGGTATTTCATTTAAAGAGAACATGTATGTGTGTGTTTAGGTTAATGGATTCCTGCTGGTTCTACAGAAAGAACGTATTATTTTATCCATCTACTGTGCAGAGAAGCTGGCCTTCAGCCTCTAAGTAATGCCTATGGAGACAAGTTGTCAGGTGTTGAGGAAGAATACATGTCTCAACACATGTTTCCACCCAGGCCATAAGTTTTCTCATTGTAGTTGTATTGGGTTCTGAGTGCTAGCTAGTCTTTTTCTGACCATTATAAATTACATCATTTTCTTGACCCTGCAACCCTGGATTATGACAAACATATGACAAACCAAAGGTAGGTATTAATGTACAAATAATGTAAACACTTAGAGTCTTAATTGACCTTTATGTTCCACACTTCATAAAATTAGAGTTGACATGGTTTGGCCCCACTGAAAAGTAAAATTACTCATCCAAGAGAAAAAGGAAGATGAACTTTGTATTTTTAATCAGCAAACATATTCATTTACTTTTCCTTCAGAATTTGCCTTTGCTCAAAGGCAAACTCAAGTTTTGCTGTTGGACTTTGCTGGGGTCATTAGTAGCCTAGGTGTTTGTAGTGATTCCACTAAATCTTTTGATTGGCAAACCTCCACAGACCCAATGTCTTGAATGGTTCGTTTACCTCCTGCATGACTGCAGTTCCTTCTTCTGAGACACTGCTGTACCCCTGAGACTGAATCCATCCTTCTGTTGCTCTTGGATTTTAGACTTCCAGGTCCCACTGCAAGGGTATCTGCTGCAGGCAGCGAAGCCAAAACACGTGGAGGGTCAGCCACTGCTAACAACCGACGCAGCCAGAGCTTTAACAACTATGACAAGTCCAAACCTGTCACCTCCCCGCTTCCACCACCACCACCAAACAGCCATGAGAAAGGTAAGTCAACTTCTTGAGGATCCTTTTTGACATCTTCCTTTACAGCAGATCCAGTTCCTTTGGGTGAGTTTGGTCAGGGATGGGAGCGGGTTGTAAATAAGATGGACCACAGGACATATTGGCTGGCAGGAACTTTGTTAGCAGAGGCATTAAGAAAGTGGGGGAAATATGTTCCTAGTTGCTAGCAGAAATACGTGTATTTGTTTCAGTGAGGGCCCAGAAGATAACTATGGAGAGAAGTGATACAGCATCTACAATTTGAAAATAAACTTTCATAGAACATGTTGTATATGGTAGATGGTTTTCTAGAAATGCAAGCTTCTTGGAGGATGCATTGTGTAAACTGATTAGATTTTTACCCATCAAAAGTAATATGAAGGAAGTTAAATAGAAGGGGCATTTCACCCTTCGAAAAGACTTATGGGTTGGCCAAATGAATACCTTGGCTACATAAAAGAATATGCAACATTATTCTTGTGTTCTGGTGATGTAACTTTTATCAAAAGAGGATAAGACTTTTTGCTATACATAGCCCTGAGATTTTAGGATGGGGGGAAAGGTGAGTAGCATTGTGGGGGCTGTTGCCCAGAAGGTAGTGAAACAAACCTTTGCTTGCTCCAGTCTGTGTCCTATGGGACACTGGGGAAACGAATCAGCATAGAAGATTCTACAGTAAGAGGCAGAGCCCTCCTTCATTCCTCCCAGGCAAAGGGGTATAGACTTCTTTGCGGAACATGTTCAGATCTCTTGGAAGCATTGTCTGTCTGATAGGATTTGTCCTAGATGTTCCCTGTACTCTCCCGAGACCCAAGGGGGCTGCCCCTCACTCCTTAAAGTGCTCCAAGAGTCTAGACAGCCTTCCCACTGTGAACGAGGTCAGAGCCTCCCTGACCTACCTCTCCAGCCCAGGGTGACTTGATTCAGTGGAGCTGGGTTTCTGCCCTACCCCCAGCTAGAATATTTGAGAAAATATGAAGGAAATTTGTGTATGGCTGATATATATATGGCAGAAGGTTTTGCCTACAGAGCTCTGGAAACTCTGCAACTAGAAGTAGGATGTCTTAGCCAGTCAAGATGCTTTGTGATCCAGCCTTGGCTTCTGCCTGAAGAAAATCATTTTTCTTCTTCTTCGTTCCCCCTCTTCACCTCCCCTCCCTTTCTCTTCTACAACCATACCCAAGTGTGTTCTTTTCAAAAATGTGTTCTTTTCAAAAATGTGTTCTTTTCAGAAGTGTGTTCTTTTTAAAAGTGTGTTTAAATTGCAAAAATAACATATGCTTGTAAAATGGTACAAGTACATATCAAAAGTTCTCCTTTGCATGCTCCCTGAAGGATGCTAATATAAACCGTCCTCTATATATTCTTCTGGAACTGATTTCACAATACATTTATACACACACACACACACACACACACACACACACACACACGCACAATCTATATAGAAAGGTGTTTTTTATATAAATAAATAAGAGATACATTTTACTGAGTACCTACTATGGGCCTCATTGAATCCCCCAACAAGCTATGTTGTTATCCCCATCTTACAAGGGATGAGACTTGGGCAAAGGGAGGTTAAATACTTACTGAGCCATACCAGATATGGTGAGAGGTAGAGTTGGATCTGAACCCACGCACCTTGGTTCCAGAACCATTATTAATACTATGCTTTTCCTGCAAGCAGAAAAGAAATGCTCAAAGCCTTGCCGATTGAACTCTAGAGATGTGCAGGTTGAGTAAGAGAGGGGAGCTAAGAGGATGTGGGAGGCACCCTGCCCAGAGCCCTCTGCCAGGCCATTCCGTCCTTGTGCCATGGTCACCTGGAGAGAATGTCTTAAAAAACATCTGAAGGATGGATGTGAGACCAATATCCAAAAGATTGAGAAAAGAAAGAGAAGTTCTTCATGGTTAGAACGGGTAGGGGAAGATGAAGGGTTGACAGCTGGAATGTTGTCCCAGAGCCTCCCACAGAGGCAGGACTACTCAGGCAGCCCACCAGGTGCTGTGCTGGGACGGCCACCAGTCTCTTTCTGTCATGGGCACGGACTGCCATGTGTGCCCGGAGCAGCCAGGGAGCCACACGCCTGTCAAAGGATGGCGGCTGCAAATTCTAATGGTGGCATTGCCCCAGGGAAGGACTGTGGGATAGGAAGAAAGAGAAGTCAGACTTATTTACTGAGCAGGTAGTATTTGCCAGGGGCTTTGATCGTCACCGTGTTACTTGATCTTCACAAACATCCTGTGTGGTAAATATTATTAACCTAGTTTTACAGGTAAAGGAGGCTAACTGAGATTTGGTCACTTGTCCTCCCTGTAATTGAGCCCTGGAATTCGTATTGGGGTTCGACTCCTGGATTTGAACTCGGGCTCTGTTCTGTCCCCTGGGAGGTCTATGACAAGGATCAAGTAAGGTTGTGTGAGAATATTTTGTGAGCTATGACTCTCACAAAATCCACTGAGGATTCGCTTTTGGAATGATTAAAATAACTGATTGGGGTTCCAGGTGCACCAAAGGGTGCTTTTGTTTCCCCTCTCCCATCCTGGAGAGTTTAGGTAAAGCCCGTGTGGGGCAGACCTGTGTATATTTTATATCAGCGCTTTCCCACCATCCTGAGGTAAAGGGACAGTGCGACTTTACCTTCAGAGGCTTTTGTACTTCCTCCTCCTTGCTCACCCACCCTATGTCCTCCACTGAATCTGATCTCGATGGCAGCTTATGAGGTAGCCGGGTCCAAGCGACATACAGTATGCGCAGAGAGAAGTAGCTCTACCACCCGGCCATGTGGGAGGCGACACGGGTTCTTAGGTGCATAAGGTAGCCTAAGATAGCATCCTTCATCCTGAGAAGTCTCGGAGAGAGGCACACTAGTGAGCAGATAGATTGGAGCTCAGTGTGGCTGGTGCTGCGGTGGAGTTGTAGACTGCTTTCTAGTGAGTTAAAGTCCACGATATGATCTCATGACCTGTCCTTCTAGAAGCTTTCTTGTGAGTCAGGCAGGCCCTGATAGCATCATGTGCTGGCACCTCACTCTCAGGTAAACCAATTCACACAGTTGTGTATGTCATCCATGGGGCCAGAATTCTCCTTCTAGGAATTGATCTAATCACACCAGTGAGGGGAATGAGAAATTCAGTATTCGGCCAATAAAGGAGAAAAAATATTTCAACACTGAGTCCTGATTTTTTCAAAAGGATAAAGGGGAGTAAAAATTCGCCTATTATAACAGGCGAATTTTCCAGAGCCTGGGAACACTTAATTCTTTGTGAGGAAATCCTAAGAGAGTCCCCTTAAAATCACACCCAAAGAGGCAGATACCCTCCTGCCATGACCAAATTTTAAAATTTAGTTCTGATTACACTGAACAGTCAACTGAGATGTGAAACAGAAAAAAAGTAATAGATGTATAAAATAGTTCACAATGAGAAAAAGAAAAAGCCTAGGGACATCCTCAGTTTATTAGCTCATTCCATGAGGTGACCAAGGACACCTCTATCAAACCCAGGAATGTCCCTGTATGGCCACATAACCTATTCATTTTCCCAAAGACTCACATCTCTGATTTTGCCTGTGAGGTTTGGAGGAAAGTCTATAGACCCTTAGCCTTTAAGAAAACCTGCTAGTCGTCCCATAGTCATCACAGGCATGGTTAGGTCTCTCTTTGGCTTCATCCTCTCACTCCTTCGGGCAGGGGTCAAGGTCCAGCCTCAGCTGGCCTGCGGGATGTGACGAGCAGGATCCCCTCAAAACACCTGTCAAGGGATGGTTTGGAAGCATGAACGCTCCTCGCTTCCTCTGTTGGCTCCCGGTAGCCCTCGGGCTCCAGAGAAGACTCCCAGATTTTCAGGGAGAAGAAGTATCTGTCGTGTTCAACTTTCGTGACAATATCTTCTCCTTCTATCCTTTCACTTACATCCTCTGAGTGGGTTAGCGCTGCCAGAAATCTCCTACGTTTCTAAAGTGTTTGGTCCATCATATGAATTTGAAAAGTTTAGGATTCCTAAACTAAATTCTAGGCAAATGGAAGGATGAAAGATGTTCTCTCCTGAGTGACAAAGTTTTCTTCATCTTGGAGAAAATATGTCATTATTAATATTTTCATGGTACAAATCATCCTGTCAAAAATTGTCAAACGACACAAATGTATTGAAAGAAAAGGACTCTCCGTAATCCCTACCTCTCAGAACAAACCGCTGTTTATCCCGTAGTTTATATTCTTTTGTACTTTCTTTATGCGTATACCATCACATTTTGATAAATTTTTCCTAATGTTTAGTGTTTGCTGAGTACTATTGTAAGGGCTTTATAAGGAATAATTTAATTCTTACGGGAGCTCTGTCCATGCACACACACACACACATTTGCACACATTGTGTAGGACTTAAATCTCCTAAATAAAATAAACAAATTGTAGCCAGCCTTTTTATAGGTTTTTCTCTCTTTATAATAGTTGCAGAGTACTCCGTTAACATGAATTTACCTTAATATTTTTAACAACATTCATCTCGGTAGCTTCTGATTTTTTGATGTTTTAAGTAGTACTGACATGAGCATCCTCGTGTCTTTTTTGTACATGTACACTATTTCAGTGGCATTGCTGCACAAAGGGTATGCTTGTGGTACAGCTGTTTTAACGTTGCAAATTTTGCTTCCAGAAGGTTATACTTATGTCTGTTCCCATCAACCACGGGGTGAGAGGCTAGTTTCCCTACACACTTGACACCACTTTTGTTTTCACTCTCTTGCGCAAAAAATACTGCTTTTGAAATGAGGCAGATTACTTTAAGAAGCTGAAAGAACATGATTGTTTGCTTAAAAATTGGCCCTTTAGCGGTGTGGCCTACACTGCTGCTCCTTCAGGTTCTGCCGCTGATAAAGTTGTGATTGAGGCTTGCGATGAATTGGGAATAATCCTTGCTCATACAAATCTTCGGCTCTTTCATTACTGATTTCATTGCCCAGTATTTTATGGTTTGCTTATGTGTAGGTGAAAAATCACATT